CTCCATGCTGTGGCATGGCTTGAACCCTGACTGGAATGGATTGAGGGCATTGGTGTCCTCCAGAGGTTCCTGAAGCTGATCCGCCACCTCTCTCTCCACCAGCTTGTTCATATAAGCAATGCTAGTGATGGGTCTATGGTTGTTTATGTCATCTGCAGGCAAGTTGGGCCTTTTCTGAATTGGTCTAAATGAGTGTCTCCTTGAGGGCAAAGGGTACCCTGTCCTCAAGAGAAGACCCATTGATAATGGCAGTAGCCCAATCTACTGTTACAGGCCTGGCCGCTTTCAGCCACCAGGCTAGGCAAGGATCTAGTAAAGAGGTGGTGGCCATCCAGCAGTCAAGCACCCTGTTGACCTCAGCTGATGTCACAGGCTGAAATTGTATCAGGTTCTCTGGGCAAGGTAGAGCAGTGGACATCTTGGCTAAATCTACTGATAAGGAGGAGGAATCCAGAACCCGGCAGATGTGTCTGCCTAATCAGTGTTTTCTGAGCCCTTGGACACTTGTCATTTCCAGGCAGAGCTTGCGAACATTACTTTATGAATAAACTAAATGGAAGCTTGGTATCTGCTTCACATGTCATAGATATACAGAGAAGCAGGCACTAACTAATTGTTCCAATTACCCCCTTTGCATTTTCTTCAAATAAACATGTTGATCCTTACATATCTTTCAGCTACATTAATACAATTGAATTTGCATTTGGGCTATTGTACTCACTGTGTTAAGTATAGGGAAAGGATGACAGGCTGCCTAAGACCCTGGTCACACAAGGGAAATGTTTTCTAGTTCTTCTGATACTTTCCATATCTCTGTTGCACTGAATCATGGTCACATGGTTTATATCCTGGAACAAACATCCCAAGAACTTTGAGCTGTACCGATTTATTTCCTCCTATATGAATTGTTATGCTGGCAATACCATGGCACCAGTTTATTTGCTCTCTTGCTTCAAGAGGCTATATAGTCCCTTGATTTATATACATCAATATATCAGAAACAAGTCTCCCTTTAAGATGTGCGACTGCATGAGGGCGCTTAACTCTGTCCCCCTCTCCGCACAGCTTTCCTCCTCTCCCATTTACCCACAGCTATTGTTTCCCAACCCTTTCATTCCTGTTGCAAAAGAACCCCATGCAGAGAGATGGACTCACACGCCGGGGGTGTGTGTGTTGGAAATTAGAGGGAGCATTGGTCGGGAAGTTCAGTTTAGGAAAGTATTGGCAATCTCTCCTCCGGTGACATTGCATACCCATTGTGACAATTGCCCTACATCACTCCTGCCACTCATAGTCATAATCTAATTTGCATGAGCCTATGAGAGGATTGGAGGGGTGGAGTCAGAGGATATATGAAGGTTTGTCAGGAGGAGGGAGAGTCAGACAGTCAGAGATGCAGATAGAGAGAGAGAGATAAGAGACTGGTTAGAGACAGAAGGAACAGATACTAATAGAGATAAAGCTGGTTAAGATAAATAGATTGAGAAGGTGGTAATTATATGGCAAGACAAAAGTATGTATTGAGAGACCCGTTAATGATTTACTTGAGTACAATGTTCATCTGAAGAACTTCTGTGATTATTAAATTGGCTTCACTTCAATAAATAATTTCTGTTTGCATTCACAAGACAAGTGTTTTGATAAACGTCATTTATATTGTGGAGTGAGGTAATCCACTGGTGGCAGTGAGAGGAAAACACGATTGGAGCCTTTGTGATGGCACAACACGTAGGTGCCACAAAGGGTGAATGTCACACCCATGTTTCAATGTTATCTTCCCACAAGAAAAAAATATTACCAGTCATGTAGTGGTGGCAGCTCTCCAAGTGACATACTTTTACCAACTTACTTAAAAAAGCTCCACACTGCAGGAATGGCAGGCACCTTCTTGGCTTCAATTCTGAAAAGAAGTGGGGCGGGTCATGCACACAGGCAATCCCGGTCAGGAATGCACCGATACAACAAAGGTACAAATTAACACAACCCTCCTAGAGATGGGGAAATGTTCTGCACTTACACTGCTAGCCAGGAAAATGTCTCAGTCTTGACTCTGTGTCATGTGACACAGAAAAAATAATACCAGCATAAGTGGTGCATAACTACATAACATTTCCCTTGTGTGACTAGGGCCTGTAATAGCAGATAATGTGGTATTTCATTCTGCTGGTAGCTGCCACATCTTTGACACTTTGAGTGGGTAATTGTTCAGTGAAATGGTCATATGCAATTTATCCAGGAAGCTACTGATTCTACACCAGAAGAAGCAGAGAATCCTGATACATAAAGACTTTGCAAGAAAAACAACCAGGTGGTGGTGGTGGTGGTGGTGTATGTGTGTGTGTGATACACTCTTGACACTTTTTAAGGCATTAAAATATCTAATGTCTATTATCTAATGCCTTTTAGAAGATTTGGTAACAAGAAATAAATCTGCATTTTGCTATTTTTAGAATTAAGCTTAATAGAAACTTGAATTAATTTAATTAATTTAGAGATAATTAATGTAAGGTTCAACAATGAATATTTTATTTTTATTCTGTCTCATACACTGACTGGGGCTATAGTAGTTAGTGCTATTGATAATAGCACATAGAAATAATCCATAAAAATGTAACTGCCAAAATAAATCTTTCTATGTAGTAAAATAATACCTTGTAAAAAATTTCATGGGAATTATGCTTATGCAATCATTTACTTCATCTTTCTCTGAAAATAGCAGACTAAATGCACACAACAGAAAGTGATTTCTATATGAAAACATTTTCCTGCTCAATACAAAATTGTGACTACATGGGTTGGATCCAAAGTAGAGATGGGGATGAATATAAAAACAGATCGGCTTTTTTTGATGAAAATAGCCTATTCATTAAATGTTCATCCTTTCATATACATGGGTTCTAGAGACCCCCACAAATACGAAGGGATGAATATTTACCCATTTTTATTTGTCCTTCATATTACAAAAACAACACCATCTTGCCTACCAGTCGGCGGCAGATAGACATCCACCCAACCTCACAGCCAACCCCCCTTCCTTTCCCTACCTTAACCCCCCCACACCCACTGACACCCTCTCCCTATTAAAAAAAAGAAAAAAGAAAAACACCATTCTGCCTACTGGCCACTGATCATCTGATCTGTGGCAGATAGGCAGCCACCTCCCCACAGCCAGTTACCCCAACAGCCTACCCCCAACACCCCTTTCTCTCCTTACATTAGACCCCACCCCACCTTTACCTTAATTGCTGCTGCCAAGGTCTCCGTCTGGCCTCCCAGCCACGGCATGTAAAAAGGGAGACTGGCTGCCCTTTGCAGAATCCAGTTTGCCCTTTGCAAAGATGGCAGCTGCAGCTTCCCTACCCTAAATGAAGCCGCAGCTGCCATCTTTGTAAAAGGTAGCCAGCCTCCCTTTTTACATGCTGTGGCTGGGAGGCCAGAAGGAGACCTGAGCAGCAGCAATTAACATGAGGGGGTGTAGGGAGAGGAAGGGTAGGTTGTTGGAGTGGCTGGCTGTGAGGGGGGGGTGGCAGCCTATCGTCCGCTGATCAGTTAATCAGCAGCCGGTAAGCAGAATTGTGGTTTTGGGGTTTTTTAATAGGAAGGGGGTGTTGGTGGGGGGGTGGGGGCTAAGGTAGGGAAAGGAAGGGGGTGGGGTAGGCTGTGAGGTTGGGTGGTTGTGGGGTGTGTGTGGCTATCTATCCCTGCTGATCAGCTGATCAGCGGCAGGTAAGCAGAATGGTGTGTGGGGGGTTGTAATAGGAAGGGGTGCGGCAGGGTGTTATTTTTTAATAACTTCCTCATGAATTGATGAATAACTTTGTTATTTGTCACTTAATGGGGTCAACTTTTGATGACTCACAAAACAGGACAACTCACTAAAATGGTGAGTTGTCCCCATTTCTAATCCAAAGAACTATGAGTAGAAATAGCTTTTGACACTTGCAAGAGTTCATTCAGTACAGATACAAAGTCTGTACTATGACAGTTGACTTACCTTGTATTGCACATGAGTTTATGTGAGCACTTCCACAGATCAAGATTTTATTTTGTATTTATTTTTAACTTTTTGTATGCAGTGCTCTACTCTGAGTTGTCATGCAGCCCTTCTATGAGCAGAAGACATCTTCAGTTTATAGAAGGATGCCTCAGCATCTAACGGAATGGAAAGAGCCGTCTACAAAATCATGGCATGGCTCAGATAAGGGGTATCCGTGACAATATATAGCTACAATTCTTGCAGAGAGGGGGGTCAAACCTGCATGTATTGTCACATTTTCTTACAATGTTTTGTCACTTAATTTTTTAAAAAGTGTTTGTTCAACATGACAGATATTGTACTATCCAGAAAATGGAATGATCATAGTTCTAAACTTTATAGTCATCTGAGGAAACTTACAGTTGAGAAGAGGCAAGTTTTAATTATACCAGGCAAGGCAGCTAATGTGTGAGAAAAGGAAAGTTTGATTTAAACAATAAGATGTTTCTTACATTTTTTTCCAAAAACGACAATTCGCTTCCTACACCTGAACATGAAACTGTGTATATCATGCCACTTATAAAGAATACAGACTTATGTAGAATATGAATTTGTGAATATGCTGGAGATAAATAAGAACAAATGATTATAAGAACAGAAGAACTCCTAGATAACTTTAAAAAAAATGCCCTAAAGCTGGGCTTTTATTCCTTGGTAAAGCTGGAATACTAAACCAGTTCTTGCAGGATCAAATCCATATTCTGTGCACTAAATTGCATAAACTGTTTTCTTTGTCTCTTCCCCTGTAAATGTTATGCCTAAATCAAACATTTATAAATTTATCATATGAATAAATTCTCCATTTGTCACCTGATTTGATCAAAAGCTGTCTTGGATTTCCTGAATACCACTTCAACTCACTTAATCCAATGAGACTGGATTTTTTTTTTTCTAATCGCATAGCTTTGTTAAGGTGCAGAAGATGTTCAGGCTTGTTTTACAAAATGGCTTCTTTCCTTCCTAGTCACCTGCCCATAGCTATTCAAGCTACGATTCTGGCAAGAATGAAAGTGTGGACAGAGGTGCAGAAGATCTCTCCCTAAACCGAGGAGAGGAAGATGAGGATGACCATGATGAGCATGAAGATGCTGAGAAGGCTAATGAATCAGATGGAGTAGAAGCTGAGCGTCTAAAAGCTTTTAATGTGAGTTTGATGGTTTTATTGTGCACTTCTAATTTTTTTCTTCCTTTGGGATTTTTGTTTATGGGTAAAGGTGCTAATAAAAGAGGTACCTTAATTTTATTTTTGGAAGGGGTAATGTTCCCCTCCCCTTCCATAAGCATGTTGAAGCACATGATTCAGACAGACACTAGACTCACCAGTTTTAGGCATTTTAAGGCACTGTTACTGTAAGAGCAATTTCAGATGTGTGTTTTGTGTACGCATATGCATGTCTGCTTGGTGAATAGAGCAGTGGGGAGGGGCCTGTAGATACTCTCTGAAGAGTACTCCAGTGGTTAGTGATTTTCTGTTGTTTCCAAAGTTTATGTAATTTTTGCATGATAACACACCAAAAATTGTTCATTAGCAAAGGAAGGGAAGAGACAGGGTTCGTAAAAACAATGTAGTAATCATAATACACTGTTAATTTGAAATGTAATCTGGTACCTGCCTATCTTTAGAATCTGTGTTTTATTTCCCTCACAATTTCTGTACACTACAGTCTAATCTTTTCTTTGTCTTTTTTGTCGATCCTAAAATAAAATCCTTGTTTGCTTAGCATTTCTAGCTTTCCATAACAAAACACTTCACTGTGTAAAACAACAACAACAAAAGTCTTCCTGTCTGTAACTGAGACAGGAAGCGTAGAAAGAGAATAGAGCAGCCCTCCAAATCCTTCTCCTCTGTCTCCCTCTTGCCAACAGATGTTTGTCAGGCTGTTTGTAGATGAAAACTTGGACCGAATGGTCCCAATCTCTAAGCAGCCCAAAGAAAAGATCCAGGCTATCATTGACTCATGCAGGCGACAATTCCCTGAATACCAAGAGCGTGCCAGAAAACGTATACGTACTTACCTCAAGTCCTGCAGGCGGATGAAAAGGAGTGGTTTTGAGATGGTGAGTTTTGATCTAAAACCCAGCCCTAGTTTCCATCAAAAACCCCATATGTAAATCCATGACACTATTTTGTTTTCATCTTAGTGTCTCCTTTTATTTGTATTTTTGGTAATGTCAGGTCAGAGGTTATTCTCCCTCCTTTCATATTACCTGAATGCCCCCATTCCTTTGATCAGTACATTTGAAATGCCTCTGAAAATATAGCTCATAGACATAAAATTAAGAGCATCACAAAGTATAAAGAAACTGACATAGGAAGAAGGATTTATTATCTTGTCATCATCCTGGCACCTATAAAGAAGGCTTGCTAGTTTGAATCTAGAAATACACATATGTAGCAGTGGGCTGTTTACATGTATCTGCATATATAACCCCACCTAAATACTGACACCCTTTGGGATGGAATGAGACCCAGTCTAGTTCCTATCTTTCCCAAACATGTGATCTGCACAGTCAGAGCTGACACATCTATTTATCTGATTTGAGCTGTGCCTGTGTTTCCTGATGTAGTAGTGGGAAACATGAATCAGCCATTGGTGTTAATTGGTTCCATGCAGGAATCTACTCACATCATGGAATGGGCCAATAAGTTGTTGCCCCATTTCCAGAACAGTCATCACCTTTATCTACTTGGTGGAATTCTGTATTGTCTGTAGAAACTGAAAAGCTGCTGGAGAATTTTACTAACATTCATGTAGTACTCGTATGTTAGCCACAATTATTTGTGGCCAACAAACATTCAACATGAAAACAGTAGTGTCAAAGTTTACATTTCATTGTAATTTCAACACTTAAATCAGATTTTTAGGTACCATTTTTTAAATTGGGAGCATTGTCAACCTTGCTTATTTCACTGAGAAAGTGAGAATGGAAATAAATTTAATTGAGTTTGAGCTGTTGTATTGCATCCATCTTCTCATGTAACTGACTGAATACAAATTCAGTTTTGAAAATACCACACGCAACTGAGCCCATTACAGTAAAATAGAAGAATTATTTTATAGGCAATGATCATTGTCAGCATTTCCATAAAAAGAATCCCCAAACACCCACACCCTTCCCTTCATAATTTCCAAGCATCATCTATTTTTAAATGTCATTGAAAGAGATACATCAAATTCTGATGTTTATAAGTATAACAACTTATCTTTCTGTCTGTCTTTTTCTTTCCTCTCTCTCTATCTTTCTCTTTTCTTCTATTTATTTCAGAACTTTAGGTGTCTGTACTTAAAACAAATGAGCTCATTGCTAAAACCACTAGTTTAGATTAAGGGGGAAATGCAGAAACCTGTATTTGTGTTGTTATACGCATTTTGTATAGTTGTACTGCTTAACAAAAAGTCAAGGTTGTGTATATCCAACAGAAATCTAGATCAATAGTCAAGAAAAGCAATGAAAATGTATTTGTACAGCTCACTTCAAAAATCTGAGGTTATAAAGCATGTCAGATGATGTAAAGATTTGAAATCAATGACAGACAATATATACTGGAATTTATTCCAATTTAGTTTGTCTAAAGTTATTTATACTGTAAGTGTACAAGTCTTTGATTAACTCACCTTGGGTAACTATTCTATAGCTAGATTTACTGCACTTTATTTTCATTAATGAGTAAATGCAAACATGCATAGTCTCAAATGGATGGTATGATTTTAATAATTTTAAGCAGCTCTGGATAGTAGATATACTTTCCAAGGGTGGATTAGCAGCAGTATTGTCTGGGAATAGCTGGCACCACTGAGGCCAAGCTATCAGAAACTTCTCAAATGGAAAAACAGAGACAATAAGAAATATGCAGTCCTCCAAGTTTTATCACAGCACACCTACTATCATTCCTTAACATTGATCATGATGGCTGGGGCTGGTAGGAGTTGTAATCCAGCAAATTAGAGCACTTCAGGTTCCCCACCTCTGGATTAAAGGAAAAATGAATAACAGGGAAACTTGTGTTCTTGACCAGGTGGGTACCTTGGCCTCTGACTTTGTGTGTAACAGTATGCTGTAACACTTCTTTTCTTAGATAGATGTTTCTTTTTTCTGACACTCTTGACACTGGTTTCACATTGACTGTCACATGATTTCACACAAAAATTGTCATTACTTGCACAAAATTATCTGTTTGGGGGCAAATCGGATGAATTGCATGAAATGCCTCAAATAAGAGACTTATTTTTCTATTTGAAGCATTGGATGGTTTGTTTGTGTCTATTTTAACAATCAGCTGCTTCTTACATACTTGATTTGAAGACATACATTGCTTCTCAAAGGGAAAAAGATGCTAGAGACATGTTGTGCAAATTATAGAGAGACTTTTTTCTCACTCTAGAGGAGAAACAAGGAATTTTTAAAATTCCTCACTGACAGCCTAAACTGACAGAACATGGAATTTAGCAAATATTCTTTCCATCCTTATTCAGTATATTAGCCATTAAACTAAACCAGTTTATTTGGTAACAATGAATATTTGATCAGTTGTATGTACAAATGCTACTGATCATTTGGTAGTGAAAATTATAAGAGGTGTGCAACTTCTATGCAGGTTGTACAATCACATGAAGACCCAGTATGCATTGCTTTTTCCTCTATTATTTCTCTTTGGGTCCTTCACATTTGCAGCAATGTGAGTGCAATAGTGAGGGGAGTCGGATTAAGAGGGCTATTAACATGCTACTTTCCTATTACAGAGTATGCAACACTCAGGGATTAAAAGTATGAAATGAAATGATAATGTATCCTGGTGATAGTTAGGTTTAATTGATGAGGGTTTTTTTCCCCCCTGGGGGAGACCAGCAGCCTGATGTTGAGCTTCTGTCATGTTGAAGAGAGGTAACCACTCTGGAAATCAAACCATATTAGGAACAGTGGAGGGAAGTGGGAAGGTTTCACCAGGAAAAGAAAAGATTTAGAGAGGATATGACAGCCATCTTACAATATGTAAAGGGCTTTCAGATAGAAAGTGGCACTCATTTCTGCTCCTCCAGAAGGCATGTTTCAAAGAAACACATTCAAATGATAAGAAAGGAGATTTCAACTGAACATTTGAATAATTTTCTCACAGTAAGAGTTGTTCAACAGTGAAAATGGCTGCTTTAGACAGTGGGGACCATTATTCATTGGTGTTTTTGAAAGAGACGTTGGAAGGCCATTTGTCAGGGACAATTTTATTTGTGGTTTTCATGCACTGGAGCTTGGACTGGACTGCTGGGAACACTTCCAACTCTGCAGTTCTATGATTATGTGAAGGTAGGAAACATTGCACAGATAGGCAAATCAAACATTCTGAAATCCAGTTAAATTCCATGAAGATTAAGAATATGTTCAAAGCTTTCTTGTTTAAGTAAGTTGTACTCTATAGTCTTATTTAAAGTTTGCTCCTAATATGTACCTTGTAATGTAAGATTCCTATGAGGTTTTTGCAGAATGCATTATCCTAACTACAGTGGGGTCTTGACTTGAGAACTTAATCCGTATTGGAAGGCGGTTCTCAAGTCAAAAAGTTCTCAGGTCAAATCTGCATTTCCCATAGGAATGCATTGAAAACCATTTGATCCGTATCTGCTCTTTTCCGTCCATAGAAACTAATGGGAAGCTGCTATTCCGCCTTCGACCACTAGAGGGGGATATTTTGTTTCTTTTTTTTCTTAGGTCAAGAAAGGTTCAGGGAAGGCAGGGAAAATACAGTCCAGGCAGTCCAGTACCAGGCAGTCCGAAGACTGTCTCCCAATCCCCTCTCTAAACGCTGGGAGGAGTGAGGAAGCAGACAGGCACCCTTTTCACTGGCCAACAGTTAACTAAAAGTTCAAATTTTGCACTTTCCCTGCCTCCCACATGGTTTTTTCAGTTCTTAACTCAAATCTAAGTATGTAAGTCAAGTCAATATTTTCCTATGAGAATGGTTCTTAAGTCAAAATGTTCTTACCTCGAGCCGTTCTTAAGTCAAGACCCCACTGTATAATCCATTTAGGAAATATGAGCATGAGAGAAACTATGACAATTAATTAGACTTTTGATTCCTCTAGCGCAGTATAGTGTATTTCCTCTGGTAGTAGCTTTGCAGAGTATCTAGAGATTGCGTATTGCTTGCTAAGCATGGCTTCTACCACAGGACTTCAGTTTTTTTTCTTGAGATCAAGCCTGGGTATGTTTACCAGGGCTTGAGGCCAACTTTCTGCCTCTCACCAAACAACGAAAAGTGATCTCTCAATTTTTTTTAATTATCAGATGAGGCATGTACAAAGCTAAAACTTTCATTTCATTTTCTTTCAGAGGCATCCCAATCATTATAGTTTTGTTTGCACCCTGGCTGCATGTGCTTGACATGAAAGGACCTGTATCTTTCATGCATAAGGCACACTGAGTGGGATTCTGCCCATTTTATAATGGCTTTGCCATGTTTGCCTTCATGTTCATAGTCCCAAATATTGCTATAGAAGTTGAAATCTCCAATACAAACTGAGCATTTTGGTTTACCATATTAGATAGCTTCTGAATAGGCCGGTTAGAAGGACAAAGGACTGGGGGTGAGGGATAATCCCACTTCTGCAGTCCTCCACCCATTGTCATGGGTCATTAACAGTGGTCTTTCTGGTGTGTGTGGCCCTAATCCTCCTGAGGATGGATCAAAGGGCAGCATGATAAATTGGAGACAGATTGCATCTAAGGCCTCCACCCCTTGGATGCTTCCTCAAAGTGGTAAAAAGCACTGCTTCCTCATCATCTTAGTCACCATCATGATCTTTGACATTGCTAGCATTGTCATCTCTGAAGATCATGGGAGCCCACAGAAAACAGTTCTGGAGGCTGCATGCAATCCACAGGCTGCACTTTGCCCGTTGTGCTTAAGAGAGGCTAGATGAATCAATTACAAACGGTCACTGTCAACAAGAACAATGAAGACTAACAGATATTCTAAACCAATATAATTTGAATATGTATTTGATGTGTCCCTTCTAAAGCATTTGGTTTCTGGGACAAAGCATATGTGTAGGCATCCTTCAGTC